ATTTTTTAGGTGCTATTATGTACATTTTAGGTGCTAATGTGTACATTTTAGGTGCTAATGTGTACATTTAGGAGCTAATATATACATTTTAGGTGCTATTATGTACATTTATGTGCTATTATGTACATTAAGGTGCTAATATGTACATTTTAGATACTATTGTGTACATTTAGGTGCTAATATGTACATTTTAGGTGCTAATGTGTACATTTAGGTGCTAATATGTACATTTTAGGTGCTAATGTGTACATTTAGGTGCTAATATGTACATTTTAGGTGCTAATGTGTACATTTAGGAGCTAATATATACATTTTAGGTGCTATTATGTACATTTATGTGCTATTATGTACATTTAGGTGCTAATATGTACATTTTAGATGCTAATGTGTACATTTAGGTGCTAATATGTACATTTTAGATGCTATTGTGTACATTTAGGTGCTAATATATACATTTTACGTGCTAATATGTTTTTGCATTTTACGTGCTAATATGTTTAAATGTTATGTTTAATATTTTTTAGGTGCTACTATGTACATTTTAGGTGCTATTATGTACATTTATGTGCTAATATGTACATTTTAGGTGCTAATGTGTACATTTTAGATGCTATTGTGTACATTTATGTGCTATTATGTACATTTTAGGTGCTATTATGTACATTTATGCGCTAATATGTACATTTTAGGTGCTAATGTGTACATTTTAGATGCTATTGTGTACATTTAGGTGCTAATGTGTACATTTAGGAGCTAATATATACATTTTAGGTGCTATTATGTACATTTATGTGCTATTATGTATATTTATGTGCTAATATGTACATTTTAGATGCTAATGTGTACATTTTAGGTGCAATTATGTACATTTTAGGTGCTAATGTGTACATTTAGGAGCTAATATATACATTTTAGGTGCTATTGTGTACATTTAGGTGCTAATATGTACATTTTAGATGCTATTGTGTACATTTAGGTGCTAATATGTACATTTTAGGTGCTAATGTGTACATTTAGGAGCTAATATATACATTTTAGGTGCTATTATGTACATTTAGGTGCTAATATGTAAAATATTAGGTGCTATTATGTACATTTTAGGTGCTAATGTGTACATTTTAGGTGCAATTATGTACATTTTAGGTGCTAATGTGTACATTTAGGAGCTAATATATACATTTTAGGTGCTAGTATGTACATTTAGATGCTAATATGTAAAATATTAGGTGCTATTATGTACATTTTTAGGTGCTAATATGTACATTTTAGGTGCTAATGTGTACATTTTAGGTGCAATTATGTACATTTTAGGTGCTAATGTGTACATTGAGGAGCTAATATATACATTTTAGGTGCTATTATGTACATTTAGATGCTAATATGTAAAATATTAGGTGCTATTATGTACATTTTTAGGTGCTAATATGTACATTTTAGGTGCTAATGTGTACATTTAGGTGCTAATATGTGCCATTAAGGTAACAATATGCACCCTTTGGTACAAAAGTGTTCCTTTTGAAAAGGTACAGCCCCAGTGACAGCTTTTTGGACCTTTTTTTCCGAGAGTGTAGACTCGTTTCATGAGATCGGGTGGTGTATATACAGGTCAAACTCGAAAAATTAGAATATCATGCAAAAGTTCATTTATTTCAGTAATTCAGCTTCAAACTAATATAATTATATAGACTCATTACATGCAAAGTGAGATATTTTAAGCCTTTATGTGTTATGATTTTGATGATTATGGATAACGAAAACCTTTTCACAATATTCTAATTTTGAATTCGGGGGGTTTATAATCTGTATAACAAATAAAGGCTTGGAATATCTCAGTCTGCATGCAATGAGTCTACATAATATATTAGTTTCATCTTTTAATTACTGAAATAAATGAACTTTTGCACCATATTCAATTTTTTTCCAGTTTCACCTGAAGTGCCCAAACATCCTTGTGTGTTTGAGATGGAAAACTGATAGGCAATTGAATTGATAGAATTGATTTACCGCAGTGTGTGTGTGTCCTTTATAACGCAGGTAATGTGTACAGCAGGACGTTACGGAGGCGTTTGGTCACGAGTGATGTGGATGTGACCGAAGTGATTGCTTTATTAGTTCAGGGCTGGGGACTGAGACGAACAAAACCATCCGAAACCTTCAATCCATTACAGAAGGCCGTGACCCAGAGAGCCAGGCGAGCTGCTCCTCCAATCCCTGCCAATTAGTGTCGAAACCAAACAACTGATATCATGTAAACCTCAGCAGAAGCAAACCGCCGCTTGTGATTTCAGGCTAATGAATCCTGGCGGTTCGGATGTGATCTGATCGTGCATTGTTTCAAGCGTTCTCACGTCTTTCTTCTCGAGTGACCTTTTCGGCAGGCTGCCGGCGGCGTGTGATTTATTTATGATTTGTGAGGAAAGCAAAAGGCTGTCAGCCTGCCCTGTTATCGTTTGGTCATCCACTCAAGTGTCTGGGTGGTTGGCGTTCAGAAACTGGGACAGTCTGATTAATGTCAGCGTTTCCAAGCCAAACTCACACACACACACGACAACAAAGAGGACTCGCTGGACGAGAGGGAAACGGAGATAACACAGACACGCGCATGACAAGACAAATCAAACATGCCATTGCAAGTTTTGTTAAGTTTAGGCCGAAGCCAGGGAATAATTAGTCCCTGCGGGGAAATCAGCGTCTCATTTGCATATTTCTGACACTCTGGAGAGGCCGTCAGCCACAAAGGAGGGGAAACTTTTCCCTCTTGTTATGGTTTTGATCTGCCATACATTTTACATGCTGTAAATCCATAAAAGTCAGACTTTCCGTTCCGAATCGGCACACTACAAGATTAAAAACAGCCTTGCAAACGAGACACTAATTTAGCCTTAAACAAGAAGTCTGGCATTATTTACTCGCCCTCGCTCACTCATTTACTCACAAACTGCATAATGTCTCACGTTAATGTTGAAGTTAAACACAGGGTTTGATTAATGCCTGCATTAAAACACAAAACCTGGCCTTTATTATTGTTTAAATGTATATTTAATGCAACATTAGGGTGTTTTTTGAGCCACTAAGTATCTCTATATGAAATTTCATTGTCTTTAAAATAAGGTTAAAGTGTTCTGATGAATGTTGTGACAAACTTTTATGGTAAACTCAAATATGGTTAAATTCCATTTCCATTGAAACTTACATGTCATGTATTTAAATATATGTGCAATGACTTTAATTCAAGTATGTACTATGGAAGTCAACACATCAAACAAGAGCATTTCTTTAAAGCATGACAAAAAACGATTATTAAAACATAATCATTTTTAAAAGTGTATATATGTAAAGATAAAGATTTTAAAACTGTAAAAAATTTGGAGTAGGATTTACTTGAAAAAACCTTGCTAAACGATCTCACTCAGAAAATGCTAGTAAATTTACAAAGATTTGCCGAGTAAAAACCTAAACATATTTATCAGTAGCTTTAATTAGAAATCTTTAAGTTAAATTTACTTGGAATGTGGAATTAAGTAAACTTTACAAAAAATAAGTAATTTTAACTCGGCTTGTAAAAGGTTGATTAATACCGATTTCCTTTGCCTTTGTATTACACTTCACTAAAACAATTATCTTGAATTTTATTAGTCATTTATAGTATTTACTTAGATCATCTAAGTAATTTATATATACATCATGTCATACTTTAAGCCTTATGTGAATGCAAACACCTCAATACTTGGTAGACAATACACAATGGTGGTAACATTTGATGGATCGTTTTTTGTGTTTGAATGTGTCGTTTTAAGCAAAAAATTTACTCAAAATGTCACAAAATGGCAATTTACTAATACTGAAAACAAAAATCAATGATAAAACAGTGTAAATACAGCTGGAAACCAGTGAAAAATGAACCTCATTAATTATTCAAGGTCCAGTGCATGATGGGAACCCCAGTATCAGAAAAGTTGAGTAATTTTTACTTCATTTTATTGAGTTGATATTTACACTTTCATTTATACTCGCTTGAAAAATAAATACTGATATGGAATTTACTCAGTTTTTTAAATTCTTGCCTGAACTAACTTTTTCAAGTAAATTACATTGAGTTTTTTCACTAGTATTTACTTAACCAAAAAATCATTTTTTTTACAGTGTATGCAGTAAGTGCACATTCAATACACTCACAGTTTTTCCAAGGATGGCAACATCAGATGTTAGTTTGCTATGGTATCTCTCAGACCATCATTGCATTCACATTAAATGGCCACAATGATGTGCAAAGGTTATTTCTGATTCGGCAATGTCAAAGCTCTACAATCAATACAGAAAACATATCATTACTGCTCTACAGCACTACAAGCCCATCGCATGCATTCAACACACAGCAAAACCACACAAGAACAAACCAAAAAAATGAATCAGTCTAACTAACAAAGAGACTACACACTCACATAGACTGTTAACCAACACGCAATATATAATCATAAGGTTATAAGGTTTAATAATATAAGCTTTAAGGTATAATTTGAATATTTCACAAAGGTAAAACCGAAACATAACAGAAACCTCTATAAATCTCCAAATAATAGAAAATTAACACTTTCGTCCATATTTAGATCCCTAAAGCCCAAAGTATGCTTTGGTTTTCCCAACGGACAATGCCACCGAACACCAGAAGCCGAAGCTGATCTGACCTGAAACGCGCCGAACTCTTGGAAAATCATCTATAATGATCCCTACAGGGGTCGAGACTCAATTATAAAGAACCCTTAAAGTATGTACAGTATAGGAGACAAGTTAAAGTATAAGTATAAAGTCTTTAAAGTATGTTTCATTCATACAAGTGCATTTAAAAAAAAAAAAAGTACATTTTAAATGATTGAATTAAAACTAAATCCATAAACCCCATGATGGGAATACGTAACTCAATGCAAACCGCATTAGCAGGTCTGTTCATGAGTTAAACACAGCGGTTCAACCAACGGCATAAATATGAAGTTTGGGCTTACTTGGCTTGACTTTATGTTCAACTCCTCCATAGTTCTGCAAAAGAAAAGGGAGACAAAAATTAATATGCAATCCATAACTGTGGGCTTTATTCCCAAAAAGACCTAGTAAAACAAAAAAAATGTCGACTGTTAGACATATTTTTATTGTAAACCAGACAGAAAAGTTAAGATAAGTGGACTAAACCACCAGAAAGACGTCTGTAAGTTCACCAGAAGATCCAGTTATGACATTTTGATCACAAATTATTATTTTTTAAATAAAATATTCCTCAGTAAGATTAATAACATGCATTTATTGTTTATTCTTCCTTTAAAGGGCATCATTCTGCATCTAAGATGCACATAAGCGTTTCTGTGCAACAATCCATCCAATCAGAAACTGATGATTTATTTTTTTCTTTTTTCAATATTTACTCTGATACGACCTCGAATTCGTACGAACCCACGTGACGGGTAGGTTTAGGGGCGGGGTCAGGGCTAGGTCATTCGTACGAATTCATACGAATTGGAAAATTCGTAAAATATCTATGATTTAGCAAAAATCGTATTAATTCGTATGAGTGAGGTCGTACGAATTGTTACGAATTAGCCACCTCGTAAAATTCGTACGAATTCCCGTGAGATTGGGTTGGAGTATCAGTCCAACAGTTCCCTATGCCTCTTTAATTCACAGTTCCCCATTGCATCGACATCAGATACACCGCTTAACAGTCGTAACTAGGGTTGGGTATCGTTTGAATTTGAACGATTCTGATTCCGATTCCTTGTTTTGATTCCGGTTCCTAACGATTCTCGATTCCGATTCTTTTAAGAGGCAGGGTCAAAATTTTTTAGCTAACCTTGCTAACCAACGGCCTTTCTGAAGGAAATACTCCTTCTGTAAAAATACTCCTTTTGTCACAAATTTTGCATTTTGCCGAGATTTAGTTATTTTTAGAAAAGTGAAGCCACACTTTGGACCGCCGACGTAAGCTACTCGCGCGGTTATGCCAACACTTCCGGTAGACGCTTCTTCGTTGGTGTTGTTCAGCGGTTTCTTCTTCCGCTCGGCGGACTGTGAATATCGAAACTAGGAATCGAAATTTTAACTTTTGAACGATTGCGGGAAAAACGAAAAGTTAGTCCCGGTTCCAATCGATACTCGATTCTCGATACCCAACCCTAGTCGTAACCTGAACTTTAATTAAGAAACTCCTCACATCAAGCGACCGAATGTTACAATCGTTGGGTTTCATTAGTAGTTTAGGCCATGAAAAGATTTTGTGTTGCTGTTTTTATCATCTTTTGGGACCCTTTATTGTTTTAACCCAAATGTGATAACACTGAAAGCATTTAGTTATCACTTTTGTTTTCAATTGAACACACACACACACACCACTCCACTCAAACCGTGAGCATAATACACTTCTGCTGTTGATAAACGAGGACGAATCGATGAGTCTGTGACATGCTTTCAGACATCATTCAAAAGTTATTGAAAAACTGCACAAATGTAAGAAGATAAACAGATGTGTCATTACTTCTTACTCCGTTCACATTAAAGATCTCATCATGTGAAATTACAAATGAACAACCAAATATTTGGATGATACAGCAAATCGAGCCACTTCAATTCAATTAGTCATTAGTCATTCAATTAGACTGTTTAACCCTTTCTGTTTTACATTTCATGAACAAGAAAACTCATTTGAGGAGAAAAATATGCTTTTAAGGCAATTCAATAAATAAAACTGTGTTGTTGGCGTCCATGATTAAAGTTCCTCTCAGATATACACTGTAAGCCCGGATAAGTTAAATTCACTTAAAAAATTTGAGGAAACCGGTTGCCTTAAAAACATTAAGTAATGGTTTATGAAAACTTGTGTGCATTTAACTTAAAATAATAAGTCCACCCTTTCATTAATGCCAAGTTGATTTAACTTGCAATCTCTTGTAATATTAATTGCTTTGTCAAATGAACTCCACTTACTATTTTAAGTTAAAGTAACCAAACCATTGTATTCATTGAATATAGTAAACTAAAACATCTAAATTAAGACAAATACGCAATATAAAAGTCATTTTTTACAGTTTTATTTGAAAGCAGACATCAGGACTGTGTGTGTGCCACAACACCTCTAAAACTATAACATACACAGCGCAGTATTGTGTGTCGGGTCACAGACGTGCTCAGTGTTAATAAGAGTACATGAATTCTTGCACACTGAGAATCTCAGCAACACAACATGTAAACACGCTTAGAAAAAAACACGGTTCAATGTTTTATACACACACTCTAAAAAATGCAAACCCAACTTTGGGTCAAATTCAGACAAACCCAAATGTTGGGTTAAAAATGTTATTAAAAATGTAACCCAATGGCTGTGTGTCCACATTTGACCCTGAAACAACCCAGCTTTTTTTGCCAGTTTCTTCACCCATTATTTAAGGAGAAATGTCTTAAATGAATACTAGATTAAAGGAGAACTCCGGCGCAAAATGAACCTTTGGTCTAATTACACATTGCTACCTAGTCAACCGTTATCTGAGATTTTTTTTCATGATTGCTGAATGTAAATAGTTTTATCTATAAAAACAGTTTAGCCTATAACGCTAGTTCAATGCTAGTATATAGTAATGACAAATAAAAATCGCTTGTTATTACCACTAACAAGGCTCAAAATAGCCCCACACCAAAACGACAGCATAACAAGGGTCCCTACATTCAAACCGAAGCGTTGAGAACTTTGTCAGTGTCCATACAGTTTAATAAGAAGATATTTTATACACACAGTAAATTTCGCGAATACAGGAAGAAGCCATCTTTGAAAAATAGTCTCTACCAGTCGATCTACGAACGCCGATCCAAGTGCGCTTAACTGTGCAGAATCTCATATGATCCGCTGTTTCCAGAAGAAACACAAACACGAACCGTTTTCTTCTCTTCAATATGTACACGTAGCCTACTGTTCACGCTCACCTCATCACCTTATTCACATCTCACCAGCGCACATGGATCGGCGTTCGTAGATCGACTGGTAGAGACTATTTTTCCAAGATGGCTTCTTCCTGAATTCGCGAAATTTACTGTGTATAAAACATCTTCTTATTAAACTGTATGGACACTGACAAAGTTCTCAATGCTTCGGTTTGAATGTAGGGACTCTTTTTATGCTGTCGTTTTGGTGTGGGGCTATTTTGAGCCTTTTTAGTGGTAATAACAAGCGATTTTTATTTGTCATTACTCTATGCCCTATATACTAGCGTTATAGGCTAAACTGTTTTTAGAGATAAAACTATTTACATTCGGCAATCATGAAAACAAATCTCAGATAACGGTTGACTAGGTAACAATGTGTTATTAGACTAAAGGTTCATTTTGCGCCGGAGTTGTCCTTTAATGGAGTTAAATGTTGTCTATGTTCGTGAGCTTTTTAATTAAGAATTAAGTATTCAAATCCGTAAAATGATCCCTTGATGGGAACCCTTAAAATGTTCTACACTCTAAAAAATGCTGGGTTGTTTTAACCCAATTCTGGGTAAAATATGGACAAACCCAGCCATTGGGTTACATTTTTAAATTACATTTTTTACCCAATGGCTGGGTTTGTCCATATTTTACCCAAAATTGGGTTAAAACAACCCAGCAATATGAATTGCCCGACATGACGTTATTTTCTTCAAAGAGTCGAGGAGTGTTTGCACTCGTGATGCTGGCGCCAGAACCCCATGCATATTTAATATCTTAACATCTCTGCTGAATGAAGCGAGTGTGTGTTCTTGGGGTGAGTGTGTTAACACGAGAGATTGACACGACGCTGGGTTCAAGCTAAGGGCTTCTTATACGCACCACTGGACACACTATATATATTATAAAAAAATACATTTTGGGGAAAGGAAACAGGCTTTTGCATCTGAACTCTTCATATATATATATATATATATATATATATATATTTTACAGGCACAAATATTTAATTTAAAAAAACACCTTGTATGTTATTTTCCACATCATCTGAAATGGTAAGATCATACTGAGAGAGGAACCGAGTTATAGTTATAGTTCACTTTAACTCTCAAATCTCTTTCAGAATGAAACTGGAATCATATGAAAAAGCAAGCTGATGGAAAAGCAAATATAGATTATATGCGAAAGAGTGTAACACAGATTAGACGTTATGGTGCTTTTGTCGTGTCTAGTTGTGGCCTTGAGTAAAACAGTCAAATATAGTGAACAGAAAACACACAGATGCAACACTAAACAAGTGTATGCTCGATGTTTTGCACTATTAATAAGCAATGAGGGATTATAAAGAGTAAATTAGAGCCGCTCGGCTGCAGTGTGCAGAGAATATGAAGCGTGTTTGACCCCTCCGTGACCTTCAGGACTGGCGATGGGAATGTGCTGACCCGAATCTCACAGGACCAACACCTGATTATTCTAGACTCAAACTATATATTCCAGCACGACACTCGCTTTAACACTGGCCAAGTTTGAGATTTGGGGCTATTTTGTCTCTTTTTTTCTTTAAAAAACAAATAAAACTTAAGTGTGTATTTTATCTCTCTTTATTTGCACCCATAGATGTCAATGACAGGACATACTGTATCTGTACAGGTTACAAATCTCCACATCAGCAGCTTTATATACTTTACAGTGTTATTCTATACTCATATCTGTTGAACATTTCCTAAAAACATGGTGAAAATATATTTTTTCTGTCTAAGTGAAAAAAAAAAACGGTTAAAGTCTAACAAATAAACTAAATAAAAAAAATACATTTGAATCTGGTTTTATCCCATGCTCAAATTTAAGGTCTGGAAAGTTATACAATTAAAGCATATTTATTTAGATAAGAGCTAATTTACATATTAAAACATAAGAAAACTTGTTATAAATCTTTTTTTTTTTTTTTTAATGAATCACCTGCAGAAGTGGTGAAATCCATTCATTAATCTTTTTACGCTTCTCACCGAGTGTGTCCTGCCTAAAATATAACTAAAACAATAACTTAGTTGAACCATATTGATGGTGAATTGCTGAGCTAGTGTTTTGAGAGTGTGTGTGTGTGTGTGTGTTTGTGTGAGCACATCATATCTTTGTTAATGTTGCCGGTAATGTTGACTCAGAATCAGTTCCCCTCTCTTCTCGGATGATGTGGGCGGGGCTATAACCTGTCACTCACAGGAGATCAGCCAATAGCAAACCACAACCAATCAATTCCCATGGACAAATCAAGCCCCGCCCACATTAGTTCTTGTTCCTGAAGCGTTTCACTCGCGTATACGACACAAGAAAAAAAGTGGAGCGGATCTGTTTAACCCAGCTATATATTTCATGATTTATGTGTGAATTAAATGATGAATTAAGTGAATTAAATGATTCTGTGTGTTGTGTTTGAACTCTTTTTCTTCATATAGTTTGGAAGAACTACTGGTCTTCTAGCCCTGTTAACATCCACTTACACCCTGAGATACACACACACCAAACATGTGGCCATTGAAACAGACCGAGATAGCTACAGATTTAGATGTAAAGTGTTTCTGTACTTATGATTCTGTTAAGTTTTTAACTACTTTATAGACATATTCTGCACTATTACTCAAACATTATAGCTCTGAGAGCCAGAAGAAAGTGTGACTTACGTCTTCCTGAAGTCTCTTTACCGTGTGTCCAGTCCCGGCGCCGGCTCGGACTCCGTGAGCGAGCCGTAGTGAAGATCCCAGCAGAACGGACCAAACCCAAACCCACAGCCAGCCCATCAGCGCCAGTCTGTCAGGAGGAGAACCAGCAGATGATGAGCCTCACACACACACACACACACACACCTGTCAGAGCACCTCAGCAAACACATTAATCTCTATGTTTATGAGTCTGAATGAAGCTTTATGTTCAGAAGTTCCCTCTGTGTGTGTGTCGCTGTATTTCAGACTAGCAGACTAAACTCCACACACACTGTCTAAAATATTTGCCTAATTGAATGACGATAATAAAAACATCACATCTGTTTGATATCCTTATACATCAAGTTTGATATTTTCATCTTGTCATTCATTTCTAAGCAGATTTGGTTAGAACCAGAGTTCAACATTGAATACAAGAAGATGCATAATGTTTAACTCTTTCCCCGCCAGCGTCTTTTTTTTTTATTTATTTTATTTTTTTTTAAGTTGTCAGTCAATGCCAGTGCCAGCATTTTTTATCCTTTTCTCAAAATATTCACGGCATATATTTTGTTGTATGAATATCTGAACTTGCAATATATCAAAAGACAGAACAGAGCCTCTGCTTTAAAATATATATATTTTAAAAAAACAAATTCTAGATTCATGCATTCTTTTATTAATTTATACTTGAATTTGGGTATAAGCTCACAGTCTTTACATTTATCAGTAAATATATAATTCCCTATGGAGAAAATGAGTTTGACTTCTGGAATTTACGTAACTAAAAAATGCAAATGTCACTGTACTAAACAAATTATCAGAGCAAGTGTCATTTATTGTAAAGAAAGATGCACAAACCCAATGTACAAATAAAACATTGGGCCGCCACTGAATATTTTTTTTTATCTAACAACTGTGATATATGAAGTCGGAATTGTGAGATATAAAGTTCTGAGAAATTAAGTCTCAATTGCAATTCTGACTTTATATCTCGCAATTCTGACTTTATATCTCACAATTCTGACTTTATAACTCGCAATTCTGACTTTATATCTCGCAATTCTGACTTTATATCTCACAATTCTGACTTTATAACTCGCAATTCTGACTTTATATCTCGCAATTCTGACTTTATATCTCACAATTCTGACTTTATAACTCGCAATTCTGACTTTATATCTCGCAATTCTGACTTTATATCTCACAATTCTGACTTTATAACTCGCAATTCTGACTTTATATCTCACAATTCTGACTTTATATCTCACAATTCTGACTTTATAACTCGCAATTCTGACTTTATATCTCACAATTCTGACTTTATAACTCGCAATTCTGACTTTATATCTCACAATTCTGACTTTATATCTCACAATTCTTACTTTATATCTCACAATTCTTTCTTTATATCTCACAATTCTGACTTTATATCTCACAATTCTGACTTTATATCACACAATTCTGACTTTATATCTCACAATTCTGACTTTATATCTCACAATTCTGACTTTATATCTCACAATTCTGACTTTATATCTCACAATTCTGACTTTATATCTCACAATTCTGACTTTATATCTCACAATTCTGACTTTATATCTCACAATTCTTACTTTATATCTCACAATTCTTTCTTTATATCTCACAATTCTGACTTTATATCTCACAATTCTGACTTTATATCTCGCAATGCTGACTTTATATCTCACAATTCTTACTTTATAACTCGCAATTCTGACTTTATATCTCACAATTCTGACTTTATATCTCACAATTCTTACTTTATATCTCACAATTCTTACTTTATATCTCACAATTCAGACTTTATATCTCACAATTCTGACTTTATATCACACAATTCTTACTTTATATCTCACAATTCTTACTTTATATCTCACAATTCTGACTTTATATCACACAATTCTGACTTTATATCACACAATTCTGACTTTATATCACACAATTCTTACTTTATATCTCACAATTCTTACTTTATATCTCACAATTCTTACTTTATATCTCACAATTCTGACTTTATATCTCACAATTCTGACTTTATATCTCACAATTCTTACTTTATATATCACAATTCTTTCTTTATATCTCACAATTCTTTCTTTATATCTCTCAATTCTGACTTTATAACACACAATTCTGACTTTATATCTCACAATTCTGACTTTATATCTCACAATTCTGACTTTATATATCACAATTCTGACTTTATATCACACAATTCTGACTTTATATCTCACAATTCTGACTTTATATCTCACAATTCTTACTTTATATCTCACAATTCTGACTTTATATCTCACAATTCTGACTTTATATATCACAATTCTGACTTTATATCTCACAATTCTTACTTTATATATCACAATTCTTTCTTTATATCTCACAATTCTGACTTTATATCACACAATTCTGACTTTATATCACACAATTCTGACTTTATATCACACAATTCTTACTTTATATCTCACAATTCTTACTTTATATCTCACAATTCTTACTTTATATCTCACAATTCTGACTTTATATCTCACAATTCTGACTTTATATCTCACAATTCTTACTTTATATATCACAATTCTTTCTTTATATCTCACAATTCTTTCTTTATATCTCTCAATTCTGACTTTATAACACACAATTCTGACTTTATATCTCACAATTCTGACTTTATATCTCACAATTCTGACTTTATATATCACAATTCTGACTTTATATCACACAATTCTGACTTTATATCTCACAATTCTGACTTTATATCTCACAATTCTTACTTTATATCTCACAATTCTGACTTTATATCTCACAATTCTGACTTTATATATCACAATTCTGACTTTATATCACACAATTCTGACTTTATATCTCACAATTCTGACTTTATATCTCACAATTCTTACTTTATATCTCACAATTCTGACTTTATATCTCACAATTCTGACTTTATATATCACAATTCTGACTTTATATCTCACAATTCTTACTTTATATATCACAATTCTTTCTTTATATCTCACAATTCTGACTTTATATCACACAATTCTGACTTTATATCACACAATTCTGACTTTATATCACACAATTCTTACTTTATATCTCACAATTCTTACTTTATATCTCACAATTCTTACTTTATATCTCACAATTCTGACTTTATATCTCACAATTCTGACTTTATATCTCACAATTCTTACTTTATATATCACAATTCTTTCTTTATATCTCACAATTCTTTCTTTATATCTCTCAATTCTGACTTTATAACACACAATTCTGACTTTATATCTCACAATTCTGACTTTATATCTCACAATTCTGACTTTATATATCACAATTCTGACTTTATATCACACAATTCTGACTTTATATCTCACAATTCTGACTTTATATCTCACAATTCTTACTTTATATCTCACAATTCTGACTTTATATCTCACAATTCTGACTTTATATATCACAATTCTGACTTTATATCTCACAATTCTTACTTTATATATCACAATTCTTTCTTTATATCTCACAATTCTTTCTTTATATCTCACAATTCTTTCTTTACATCTCACAATTCTTTCTTTATATCTCACAATTCTGACTTTATATCACACAATTCTGACTTTATATCACACAATTCTTACTTTATATATCACAATTCTGACTTTATATATCACAATTCTGACTTTATATCTCACAATTCTTACTTTATATATCACAATTCTGACTTTATATCTCACAATTCTGACTTTATATCTGTCACGGATTTCAGAAACGAACCCAAGTGCAGACAGTTTTCAAGAAGCAGCTTTATTTGACAAACAGAAAGCAAAAACCAACGAGGAGGCAAACGAACAATGACTAGGCAAAAACAACCACTGACGACAAGACTCTACGCTGACCTTGACAACAAACATACAGCAATACTGACAATAAACTTGACTTGACAATTCACTAGGAGGATTACTCACAGACAGGATACACAACGAACAAGCAACCAGTAACAACCACAAGGACAATATATAAGGGAGACAATCACAAGGGCACAGGTGACACTGATGAAACAATAATGACTGAACGAGGAGAACAAGGGGGCGTGGTCAGACAAGTGACACTGATAAAACATTAACTGACAAGTAAACGAGGTAAAGACAAGACAATGCAACCACATAGCCATGTGCTTACACAAAACATGAGTCTGTCATGATCCAGCCTCAGAACTAGGATAGAGTACATGACAATATCTCGCAATTGTGACAAAAAAAAGTCAGAATTGTGAGATAAAAAGTCACAATTACCTTTTTTATTTTCTATTCTGTGGCAGAAACAAGCTTCCATACATTTGTGAGTTGTTAGAGGCAGAAATACAGCAATACAACAAACTGAATAATCTTCAGACGCTTTACACAAACATAACACAGCGATAAACAATTCAAATAAACAAGCTTCCAGCACAAACTCTCCATAAACTCATAATCAACACATCTCCGGCTGTGAGAAACCCGATATCGGGGAAGCCCTGAAGCTCCGGCTGTCAGTCACTTCAGGTGTGGAGTGTGTTTGACTGTTGACGACAGCAGAAATAACGTGTGTGTGAAACAAAAACAGCACAAACTGACAATGAACACATTAATATCTTTACTCAACTAATCAACATACCTCACAGACGGGGCCGTTAACTATCCGACAACTCACTATTAACAGACTGCAGATATAATTCATATAAGCTTATATATAACATTGTAGAAACAAATTAATATACAGGTATGAGTAAAGTTGAAAATAAATGAGCTGATATGAAAGTGTGTTGGGAGGTTGCTAAAATGATTTTACAGCATTTTTCAAGATGATTTATAATTATTATGTGTGTGTTTTTATGATTGAGACTTTACACAGAATATTTGTTATAGCCTACTTTTTTCCCTTGTACATCATTTAAAATGAACATAACATCTAGATTATGCATCATCATATTCAGCATTAGAGGCATGCAGAACTTGCAGACATTGTGTTATTGTGAGAAAGATAAGGTTATGAAGCATAATTTCCCACACTAATACTGAGATGATCTGAGAGCGGATGCGTCGTGTGTTCAATCTG